ACACCTACAGGCTGGGCATCACTAACCTGACCAGCACTACAAATGAAAGGGATGTGATGGTAACAACAGACCCCAGCATGAGTATGAGCTGGCTCATACAGTAGCCGCTAGGGCCAATAAATCTCTGGCATGCATCAATCGATGCATCTCCAGTAAATCCAAAGAAGCGATTCTCCTACTTTATTCAACATTGGTGCAGCTGGAGTATTCTGTCCAGTTCTGTGGGCCACACTTCAACAAGAATGCGCTAAAGCTTGAGAGGGTCCAGAGAAGGGCCACCCACATGATCAGGGACTTGCATGGCAAGCCATACGAGGAGAGGCTGAGGGATCTCAGGCTCTTCAGCCTAAAGAAAAGAAGGCTGAGAGGGGACCTGATTGCAGCTTACCGCTATATCAGAAGTGTACATCAGGGCGCCCTGGGGGAAAACTAGAAACAATGGCCACACACTCCTGGAAGATAGTTTCAGGCTGAACATTAGGAAAAACTTCTTTACAGCTAGGGTGTCCAGACTACAGAACAAGCTCCCCTCAGAGGTGGTGCAATCATCTACCCTAGAGGTCTTCAAGAGAAGACTGGATGGACAGCTGGCTGGGGTCGTCTGACCCCAGATGTCTTTCCTGCTCATGCCGGGGTCTGGACCCAATGATCCTTTGGGGTCCCTTCCAGCCCTATGATTCATAGTGCAATCAATGGGGTACTCTAAAGCCTCATACTTCACCACCTAGGATTAGACCACTCCAGGCTCTACAATACTGGAAGGGCAAATGACAAAGTAAAGTAGCTGGGTCCTAGCAGAGGCAGAGGGGAAAGAAGAGAGAAAAGAAGAATACATCTAAAGAAAAAAGTGCCCTGAATATACATCCCCCTTCTGCTAGCTGTAAAATCTTCAATTCCACCAGCTCCTCCATGCTTCCACAGTCTCCAATTACAGCCCTCTAAAATGCAGAAACCTTCTTCCCAAAGTAGACTTCTGACTAGACCACAATATATAACTCCTGCCTTGTGGGTTAAGGCAAGCCACCAAACACTATTACATCCCCACTGGCAAGCCTCCATCTCTGCAAAGCATCTGGACACTTTCTGTGGTAAGGGACTCCACGAATTCAGCTCCTTCCCAAGATCAGTAGTTCCTTTATAATGATGTGTTCCCATGCCTGACTTGTCTTCACACCCAGCTATATGTGCAGCCCCGGATGCCTTGTGTAGAGAAAGCTGGCCTTGAAAACTGAATTAGTTTTACATAACGGTACAGGACATTAACCCAATATTAAGAGCAGCTGTTAAATAACCTTGGTTATTAAGGCAATAGCAAAGACAATGGAAATTAGAACAAGTGATGGTGCTATCAACTGGGGAAGGTGGAGTTCTTGCAAAGCTTAATGCAGATGCAGTAGTTGATTTTAACTAGGGATCTTTTCCTGACAAAGACAATATTTGTTAACAACACATAAGGACACAAATCAAGTAAATCCAAGGAGAAATCCACACAGGCTTTGGACAGAATCTAACACACTTCAGCAGAAACTCCCTTGCTGACTTCCAATTGCTGCACAGTACCTTAGTCTTAATATGCCCAGGTCTAACAAATTAAAGGTGTTAACCACTAGCTTCAAGCTGCAGGCAAATTTCACTGTTTTACTAATCCATACTTGACAGCTATTAACATTGTGGGAAATCCCCCTCCCCCACACACCTGAAGGCAGGAAGACAACTAGTTGACATGGATCTACTTGGCATATTTTTTAGCATTCCAAGTAACTGAAAAGGGCCTGGATAAAAATGCTTCAAGAAAACTGGAAATATATGTGATTAAAACCATGATGATAGGGTTAATTATAAGCAGGTGCCATTTTAGCTAGACTAAGAAACATTGTAATCAAATACTATCATACCACCAACTCAGGGATTAGGAAATTTTGTTTTAGTTACTTATGCATTTTCCATCACCAAATCTTATCTCAACTCAAATTCTATCAATGCATTACAGAGACTTTTCACTTTCTAATTATTATGGAAGAAGATGGAACAGTCAAGTGCTATCCAAAATCCCAAAGTTGAGGAACATTTTTGTTAACAATTCAGTTGCTGATCTTTTTACCAAACTGCATTTGAAGATCTTATTGCACTTCAGATTGAACATGCTAATGACCTGAATGGGGCAGTTCCTCAGCTCTCCAGACTTATTTTTTTGTCATACAAATAGAACTGAATCAAGCCAAACCAGCATTGCTTCAACTTTGGGCGTATCTACATACGCATTTTAACACACATTAAAGCATCACTAAAAAAAAGTGCTCTTTAGTTAAATGTGCATTAAGACAGACCAATGCACATTTTCCTAGTACTCACAATGGAGGTACTAGATTTAATGCGCATTAAATCAAATGCGCTCAGTTGTCATGATGTTGGCTAGGCACTGTTTTGCAAAACATTCTGCCAAAATTGACATGACCACCAAAGGGTTACTGGCATGGAGTACTTTACCTGCCCTACTATGACACTTCCAGTATGATCCATCATCAAAACAGGATCTCCAACTAGATGCAACACTGGTTTATGCAAACACAATTATAAAGTATGGTTGGGAACATTAAAATGAGCCATGCACAACTGGCTTCTAGCATGTTACTGGGCAGTTGTATAGACAACATGTGTTGTCTATACGACTTTCTCTCTAGTGCACTTACCTTTAAGGCACTGTAGTTCATCTGGAACTGAAGGATAGCCTCAAACAAGCTCCAGAAGGTATATTCTGGCCACAATACTGGCTGAAATGCCAGGCATGAATGGGTTGCCTGCAGAAAGCAAGATTACCAAAAATTTAATAACCTAGGGAAGAAACAGATACCAAGATGTGGCTCTGCAGTCATAATCTAGGCTGGACCTGCCCAAGCAGGGGTTTATTGGACCCTAGTTAAATTCAAACCAAAATAGCCAGGGAAATCAGAGTCAATACAATTTTGTTTCCAGTTTTGAGATTTCAAGAATTCTCCATTGCTACCAAGACACACACAGGTAGGGTTAGACTCAATGTTATCTAGTTTGTCTCTGGACTATTCTAAGGTAACAGCTACACAGGAAAACCTGTAGCAGCACCAGACTCCTGAAGGCTGCATTTGGAAAATATGACAGACTCTACACCAGGGTCATTTTTCACAAGATGTTTTGTGATATTTCTAGCTATCCATTCATCATTTATTCTGTATATTGAATATGAAAGTCCCGATACAGTGGTAGTATAACGGACCTGGGAACCAGGAGCTCAGGTTAAACCTTGGTTTTGTCATCAACTCTAATGTTGTTTAAACTCTCTGCCATGTTTTCTGCAAAATATGGATGAGGCTTATTTCTCCAGATCACCCTAATGGCCATAAATTCTTTGAAGATTTTAACCTCTATGTCAAATCCTAAGCATTTAAATATTTCCTTTTGTTGCACCGACACAAACATGTTTTAAAAGACACTTCCTTCTGACACTGCACAATAAGCTTCACCAGCATCAGGATAACTGCTGCTTTGGGGCTGTCTAGCTGTACAGGAGATGCTGATAATAACATACACAAGCCCTCAGCCCAACTTGGTAGCTTCTCCAGAATGTCTGGTCCATTTCTTGGCCATTTCCCCCATTCTCCAACATAAGCAGGAGATTGAACTAATTCCTTGTACTACTGCAGACACATGACAATTGCATGCAGAGAAGTACCTGTCAGAAATATATTTTGGGGCAGTAACTAGAATTTTGGAAAGGGAAAGGAGAGTAATCCAGTAGCAAGTCACAATTTATTAGAGAAGAGCTACAAACCTGTTTGCACAGCTGACAACAGAGACTTTTAATGTTTACAAACTATAAATGATCTGGACCGAAGAAAAACGTAACAAATGCAAGTGAAAGCAGTTTGAGTCCAACATCCTTTTACACTGTTTGCAGCCCACACTTTATAGTACTGCCCTAGTATATTAGTAAGTAGAAAAATGTGAAACTGGTCTTTATCAGATTAAACCTCATGAGACTTACTGTGTATGATCTAGTTTCATAAAAGATGAATAATGTCCCTTTAAAAAGTTTTCCTCCAAAATATTCCTAGCTGATAGATGTCACATGTGACCCCTGGATGTTATTGAAGGAATGCTGTTGACTGATTAATACCAGGACCTAACATTAAAAAAAACAAAAAACCAAAAAAAAAAAACAAAAAAAAACCTTTGATGACATAAATGAGAGAATGTGAGCAAGGGAAGAAAAAAAAAAGTGTGAACTGGCTGCTTCATCAGATTGAGAAGCATACTATGTTTGTTTTTTCCTATTTTAATGCTTTCAGAACAATAATTTGCGCACTTGGACACAATTTTGGGAAAGAAAGTTAGGAAATCTGGAAAGACTACAAGAGTAAGGACCACAGGAGCCACAGTCCATCCAATATATTACCAAGATGTACCAAGTCGCAAGTATATTCTGAAGGAGGCCACGAGGCCCAAAAGAACTTCATTGTGCCTGAAAATATTCTATGCTTGCATAAGACAAAGCTATTACCTACCTGCCAGAGCAAGAAGTCACTAAGCCGGACTTCCCCAGAGGTTCGAATCAGGAGGTCTGGGTCAGGGGAGTTGCTCGTGTAGAGACACTTATCAAGCAATGACTCTGAGACATCACTAAAACAGACAAAACACATTCCATTAATCACAAGTTGATGAGATGACATCATTCAATCAGCTGTAGAGCCTATGCTGTTCTGGCCCTAAAACCATCTCCTATGTGCTCTATAAAATAGTCCAGAATTGTGTCAACAAACATTATACATGTCCACTTATAGCGCAGACAGCAGCGGCACACACTTTGAAACTCCCTTCTCCACCCTGGATGGAGCCATCTCCACAGTACGTTTGTGGTTTGACTTCATAGCTGGCTACAGAGAAGCCTGCTGCAAATGCAGATTGGAAGCCATAAACACAAATGCAATTCAGACATGGCACTCTGGTTTAATTCCTACCCAGACCTCTAAGCCAAACTCATTATTATAGCACTTGGGGCCAGCAAAAGGCATATCATCATAGGGACATTTGGTTGCTGGTGAACCCCTGGAACTAGCGAATGGTATGTGCACCATCCTCAAGGCCAATGGAAGTAAAAAAGTGACAGTTCTGGATAAGATGTGCAAAGAATTATCCCTTATTGTACCACTTCAGTCTGGTCAGTCAGCTACATACCAAATCAAGCCACTGTGCGCCTACTGTCGCTTTGAAATGGCACTTACTCTTTAACCAAATACATCTGTAACAACTAGTCTTTTATGGAGTCATACATACCAATAAAATAGGGGACTGCCTTAGTGTTCCTGGTTGGGTGTACTTTTAGCTTGGCCAAGCAAAGTAAAGCCTCAGATGTTACAAATTTAAAACAGGTTTCAGCTACTTGAGGGCACCCACATGGCAAGACTGTCTCCTTCACAACTCTACTTGTCATTTATTGGTTTGATTTCCAAGTCATTGCCCCCCCAAAAAGGCTCAGGACAGCTTACAATAGAAAACAGTCATAAAAACCAGCTAAAACAGATAAAACAATTCCTCAGACAATACCCTGGGACTTAACCTCCAGCTGCTAAAGGCCTGCCCACATGCTAATACTGCTTCTGAAAGATGTCCAGGCTCTGGCCCTGGTGGGGGAAGGGGTTCCAAAGCTAAGGAGCGATGGCTGAGAACAACCTCCCATGCATTTTTGCTAAGAAAACTTGAAAAGCAGATGATTCTGAAGTGATGAGGTCCCAGCAACCCATCCTTGTCAAAAGGTGGGCTCCTACATTCTGCACCAGCTGCAGCTTCCAGATGGTCATTGAGGGCAGCTCTGGAGCACACTGCAGTAATCTAGTCTTGAGGTTAGAAAAGCATGGATAGTGGTGACGAGATCCAAATCTGAAATAAAGGGTTGCAGTCCTCCCACCAGATGGGGTTGGTGAAAGGTGCTTCTAACCACTGCTACCACCTAAGAATCCAGGTGAGGCAAAGTATCCACAAGCACCCTACAGCTGCAGACCTGAGTGACAGAGGGAGGATGCACCCCATGAATGATAAGGTGGCACATCTATAGGCTAGGGAAGCCTCTGAAAGAAATTAGGGTCTGTGGTATTAACAGAATGGATTGAAGAGGGCAGGGGGGAAAAAAGTCCGTCTCAATGTTAAGAAAATGTTTAATACAATTTGGATTGTGTTTTTATAAAGTACACTGCTGGGTAGCCAGTGTATGACCAGCCAGTTCTCTGCACAGCTCTTGCGGGTGCTCCACGGACCAGTTTTAGAATCACATCCAGCACGTTTTAAATTGCAGGTTGTGCCCCACCCAACTTTGTGTTTAGCACTGGTGGAGGGATAGGAGTGACTACTGTTTAACAGATCTTGCTTCTGTGTTCTTTGCTATCAAGCGTAGGATGTTTCACCTTAAAATCTTTTGCTTAAAAGCAGTTGTGCTTCCCCACTTTTATTCATACCACTGTTTAAATGAGGACAGAAACCACTGCAAATTTTAAAGCAAGAGCTCTTATACCACCCTGCTCATGAGATATTGTACAGGAATGTCAGAAGCTGTGAGGAGAAAGTGGGCAGACGAAGCTCATTAGGAAAGCACGAGTCACCTGGGCTCCAGTAGTCCTTGTTCCACACCCCAGGCCATCTCTCTCACTGCATTGCTGATCTCATGTCTTGATGTGTATGCAAAGCAGACATTCACAAAACACCTGAAAAAGCAAAACCAAGAACCATGAAGGAATCTTATTTTATACCACTGTTCTAACGATGACAGAAACTACTCCAGTTTTAAAGCAACAACTCTTATGTCGCCATGCCCATGCGTTGCAGGTAGCAGAGAGAAAGCAACAGAGAGAAGAAACTGTCATAGATAATTGTGTACTCCTAGGATGTAAAGAAAAAGCAGACAGGAACAGTGTGCTGTGTCCAGGGAAATCTCAGCTGCCAAGGGCCAGGGGTGGATACAGTATTTTAGTAACTCTGGACTGCTTACGGTTGTTTGCAACTCACTTGTTGTAGTTCTTGGTTGCCAACACAGCCTTGGCCATCAATGCCTGAAGATCCAGTGGCAGAAGCGGCAGGTCCCCAATGACTCGGATACACACACCGTGCTTCTTCAAGTTGTCCCTAAGCACAAGGAGCAAGGAGAACAGCAGAGATCTTAATGGGAGGCAGGCTGAAACTCTACTGCCTTCAAATTACACCTGAAACTTGTAACATCTATTAAGAGGAAGAATGTCATGATGTCACAGGCCAAATTAACATCAGGTATACTTTGGGCTTTGCTGCCACTTGCTGCAGCTGCTTATAGATGGCCAGATTGCAATTGTTTCTAGTGCTCCAGGCACCTCTGAAATGAAATTAAGAAACAATACCAATTTGACAAACAGAAGCAATTCTGTAAGTGTCCAAAGAGAACCTAGAAAAGGATCTTAGCTGAAGGACAAGGCACTTTCACCTAGCTCTGAAACCCAGCATATGACATTAAAAAAAAAAACCAAACAAGGCAGCCATGATTGACAGTTCCCCACCATCTTACTAATTAAGAAAAAAATTAAGAGCATGGAGAACAGAACTGGCAGTGGCTAGCTACATAGCAGCCTAGTCTCCAGCCTGAGAAGAAATTAATGTCAATGAAGACAAGTCAAATGCAGATGGGAAACAAATGTGACTACAGATGTTCTGAATGGAAAAACCACTATCCCTGGAGTGTTCCAGCCTGAGCTTGAGTGAAGAATGACAACACTGGCTAGAATTCAATGCAATGCAGATCTTCAGAGTACCTTAGACTGAAATAACAGAAGGGTTGATTAGGTTTTTCTCCCGCTTCCCCTATGCACCAGATCCCGAGCGATGGTATTTCCACCCCAGTTACTCCAATCCCATCTGTACAGTTCTGGCAAACTGCTTTGGCTACAAAAGCTAGAGCTTTTACTTTTCTAGCCTATGATGCATAAAGGAAAGTAAATTGTCACAAACCAGACAACTGAAATGCTCCTCTGTTGTGGTTATGAAAATACACGATGAATCAGGGTTGTCTCTTGTTGGAGATATTTACAGCTGCTTTTACTGACTTAACGCCACAATCCTTTAGTACCTTTCACTGCCATTGCCCAGTATTTTTATACCCTCTTACAGGCTTGAGAGGATCTTACCGTTCTTCCAGCAGGCGAATGAATTTTTGTCTTGCCAGTTCCATCAGTCCATCTACCTCTTCCTTGGTACGTTTAAAATTCTCAATGCTGAACGCATAGACAGTGACCTCCCGGATACCCAGATGCCAGCACCATCGCAGTGTCTGCAAGAGGAAAGAGGAGTTACTCAAAGCACCAGGGACACCACAGAACCGCATCTCCTTACACACGTTAATGTCACTTTGGGTCATGCTAAGAATAAATGGAAACAAGGAGTTAAAGATGTTCATCCAAAAAAGGATTCCCGAGTCAACCAAATCCTCTTTGGAATATGGTGAAGTTCCTGGCCTCAATAAGGTCTTCAGGCAATGAGTCCCACAGTCTGATTCTGCAACATCATGTTTCAACACATGTTTACTCTCCCTAAACCACAAACCTCAATCTCAGAACAGACCTAGCTCTCATTCAGCCTGGGAAAGTTCTGCTTCTAGAGTAAAGGAAACGGTACATAATATTTCGTATTTCATTACAGCTTCTAGTTGCTTTACAAACAACAGAAGCCTTATGATCAGCAAGGCAGGTGTTATTTCTGTTTTACAGATGAGTAACTAGGAAATTAAATGACTTTTCCAAAGCCATAGGGTAGAGAGCTGTAGGTCTGAGAAGGGAATGCAAGAGCCTCAAGGTCTGTGTACAAGACCCTGCTCCAATTAAGGAGATAATCTTCACCATCCTGCTGATGCCCCTGGAGAGAATACACTGATGAAAACTCTATCCCAGCCTTCAATATCCAAACTTCTCTGACCCAGAAGCTGCCGCGCAGAACGTTCTCCTCACCTCTGCTAGTTTGTCGAAGCCATGCGAATGCCCCTGCTGTCTCTGCACGTGGCACTTCTGAGCATAACGGCGATTGCCATCCATGATGAAAGCAATATGCCTGGGCATTGGACCTGCCTAGATGACAAGGAGAAAGACCAGAAAGCTAACAACCAATTTCTTAGCTTAAACTAGTTTACTTAAACTACCTGTTCCCGGCAGGGTCAGCTCTGTGCAGGCAAATGCGTTAGGCAGATTCCACCCTGAAGTGTGTGTGTTTGTGGCAAAGAGATGGAGGATGGAAAGCACAGCAGGCAGGAAAGGTAACAAGAGAAAAAGTCAGAAGGGCAGAGACATTAGTGTATATATATAAATATTCATTAAATTAGTTTAGGTTCCATACAGAACACTACAGCAGTTGCACTCAGTGTTAGCAGCTAAGACGGTTGTTGGATGTAACTGTGTTTGTCTAAGGACATAGGCAGGCAAGGTTCTTTGGGCAGATGTGATCTCTTTTATTAGACCAACTAAACAGTTGGCAAAAAGTTCTTTGCAAGCTTTCGGGCACAAATACTCTTCTTCAGGCATTAGGAGAATCTGCTAAGAGCCAACTTTGGCTTTTCCTTACCCTGTTACCTGACAGACAGCCAAATGTATTTAGGATATAAAGCAACACTAGAATTATTACCTCTTTGCAAAAAGAAAAACTGTTAAAAGTTCTGTGCTTCTGACACAATAAGCATTTGTATTTCAGAGTTTACAGGAAGCTATATAGACCCGACACATTTAAAACAGAAATATATAAGAACTTTCCTTAAGGTTGGTATTTTCTCTATTTAATTTCACCAGGCCTAGGCAACAATTTCTGGGGTACAGAGAGAACAGCATAGGTTTCAATACTAACTTTAAAAAACCCCAAAACCAACAACATAGAGCAGACAGCTTTTTCCTGGCATCCTTATGATATTTTGTTTTAGAATAAGGTGACATTTTAGAATTATGTTCAGATTGGCCTCTTCTTTTCCATTCCTTCTTCAGTTCTTTCCTAAACCACTAGATAGGAGTACTTTCTAACATTTGAACAACTATTTTTATGTAATCAAATGATGTACGTCTAGATCCACTGATGTTAGCTGCTAAATGCCTGCTATATGAGAATAAAGAAGTGAAGTGAAAATAAAGGAGTACAGGATAACAAGAGATTCTCAAATGCCACTATTTGTTGATCAGAAAGAGCTGCAAAACACTGGAAGTCTGGAGTCCCAGCTTGCCATTAGCATGCATCACCTACTACCCTGCTTACTTTGCAAGACCCAAGCTGAGAGAGTTTTCCATCCCTGAAATCTTATTCAGTGTCAGTGTTAATACGTATTCTTGTACAGAACATTTTCGCACAACAGCAATCAGTGTTTGTTCTGTTCTCTAGTGCTGAGAAGCCAACCTGCAGATTCTTGATTACCGTAAACAGTGCTAAGATTTGCCCCTTACCTTTATGATATTGGCAAAAAACCTCTCTACAAGGATCAGCTCTCCTTCCCTGATCCACGACATAGTCTTAGGGACAGATTTTTTCTTTGAGATGGAAATGAGAAGAATGGCAAAGTATACAGAAGATTCTGTCTGAACCTGAAGCAGCAGTCACCTTGTGAAAATAAGAGTTAGTTAGCCAGATGAGAGATTTTACTTGTAATAACTACAAGTAGAAAAAGAACACGCAACCCATTTACCCTAAAGGTGTTCTAGTGACCAAGAAAAGTCCAAGAAGCCTGTTCCACCCCAAAAAAAAATCCCCCCAAAAACCAAAAATCAAGTACTCCAAGAAGTAAATTTAAGAAAATACTAATAGCAAGCTTAGCACTAAGATACAGAAGTTATATACATGACCAAACAGGGCATATACAACATATCAAACTACAGTTAAAAATAATAATCAAACACTCATAACCTAAATAAATAACAAACAGCCATTATATCTTTAAAAAAAAAAAAGTCTTAAATGTTCCAAGCCCTAAAATCTTAAAAGCCTCTAACAGGTGGCCAGCCTGGTAGGGAAAAGAACTCCCTACCTAGGTTTCAAAGGCTAAGTTTCAAAGAACCACTGACTTCAGTTCACCTACAGGCCCACAATTCAGTAAGAATCAGAGTTCAAGGCTGAAAAGCAAGAATTCCGAGGTGGACTTGGATTTTTGTACTCCATTACCTGGCTCAACTCCATAAGCTTAGTAAATAAGGCCAGCAAATACAGACATGTTTTTCATAGATTATTTCATAATAATGGACTCTGCCTTGTGTGGGTATAGGGTGTACTCTGGTTGCTGTCTGATGGAAATGTCTAGTTTCTAATCACTTATTAATGCTGTGCATGTCTTAAACAAGATCCAACTAGCATAAAATCACTAAATGAACTCTAAGAGACTCTGAGCCAGTTTCTCCTAACCTTTCTTTTGCCTTCTGAACTCTTCTCAGCTACATTTTTTGCTTTCTCATCTCTGCTGCTGCTTCTCAAGTCGGTGCAAACTAATACATAATATGTGACCATTGAGCAGCTGTGGGTCTTCTACGGTCTACAAACTAGAAGGGCTGGAAAGCTTAGAAGTGTGCTATAGGGTTCTCAAGATACCATTTAAGAGCCCAGGTCTGGTACTGGCTGGGAACGATCAAAAAGGTGTAATTGCCATATGTGATCACCTGCACAGAACTAGCTGGCGAGTCTCAGTACAAAGCCCAGAGAATAAACGTTCACAGCACAAAAGCTCCCACCATGTTCTTCAGTAACTGGGCAACGGAGAAGGCAAGTACCGCCCAGCCCTAGAGACTGAACTCCCCTTTCACCTGTATTAGCAGCTACCTATTATCAAAATGGGCTCAGCTGCTTTTGAGGCCTGCGCCATTTCCATTTTCTAGGAGAGGGGGACTCCAGTCTGCAGGGATGTGAAGCCTTTGTGCCACCAGTGCTAACTTGCACAGAGCAGAGGTGCTCGGTGAATGCGAAGCCCATTTATTGCGTATGCGGCACTGTGCTGAATGATGGCTCTGACTTTCCCCCAAGCAGCGGTGGTGAACATTTTACCTTCAGCCAGGGACGAGCAGAGCAGCCGGGAGACGGCTTCTGTGGGGAGGACAGCAGAGGTTCAGCCACTGGGAAGCCGCACCCAGACCCTGCGAGAGATTCAGGACTGGTGGAAGAGACAGACAGTGCTGGCTCTTCACCCACAGAGAGCGTGTGAGAACGGCCTCGGACGCGGTCAGACCCCAGCTGTGTCCTGCCCAGGGCAGTGTGAACAGGGCCTGACTGGCATTTTTTTTCCGCCACTCCCACTTGCAGCCTCCAGCTTTTGAGGCCAGGGAAGTGGATCCAGAGGCCGTGCCCCTCACCCTCACGCTCGATAGGGACTGCCGCCCCCCATTTCCTCCAAGGACATGTCCGCTCCATCGTTACAAGTCCCATGCCAGCTCCGTGCCTCAGCTAGGGCCATGTTCACCTTCCACGCCCTGACCCCCCCGGCTCTGGTCTTCCCAGAGGCAGCAAATAAATCCCGACTGACCTCCTCTTCCCCACGTAGGAAATTGAAACTCTCCCAACCAAGGGAGGGGCAAGCCCCAGCCCCTTTACCAAGGAAACCTACTGCCTGAGCCCATTTCACAGACAGGAAGACAGAGGCACAGCCCGCCAGGCCCCGTCCCCCCAGGGGAGAAGGGCGGACAGACGATCCCGAGACACGGCGAAGGAGGGGGTGGGACCCCAGCCCCACCCAACCCGACCTGGCCCCGCCGGTACCTTCTGCTCCGCCGCGGCCTGTGAGTCCCGCAGAGTGACGTGTCCTTCCGCATGCGTCATCACCCTGCGCCAGGGGAAGCAGGCGGCGCCTGCGTGGTTGAGAGCCGGCGAGGGGGCGTGGCTTGGCTCCTCTACGGCCAGCTGGTGGGAAGCGGCCGCGTGGTGGGGTGGGCTGCCCTTGGGAGGGCTTCAGTGGCATCGACTCCCCTCGGGTTTCTCCCTCCTGCGGTGCTCTGGGACTGCCCTGCCCCCTTCTGGCAGCCACAGCCTGGGCTGGACAGACCTGCCAGGGGATGTTTCTGTCCTAGCTTTGGGCCCGGCTCCTTTCTGTGCCCTCTAAATCCCCTGTCGCTGCTGGCAGCCGTCAGGCCGGGGGGTGGCAGGTTTGCTAGCCCAGTTGTGTGATTAACATTTCTTAGAGGTGACGTTGATCGTGAGATCACACATTGAAGGACCTGGAGGAACTGCAACTAGGGATAAGGAGCTTGAATCCAGTGGGTCAACGGGGGCGGGAGAAGGCCCCTCAAGGGCAGGGGAGGCAGCAGGAGGTGGTGAACACCAGGGTATGGCCTTCTGGTATCTGTCCCACGTTTTTCTGTGGGGAGGATACATGGCTGGGTGCAGTTGTCTGGGATTTTCCATTGGAAGAAAGTCATAGCTGAGAAACATTTTCCAAACTAGGGATCCAGAGTGCTCAGCCGCTGGCAGGGGTGGAAGAGGGATGGGCTCCTTCCCTGCTGAGCAGCGCCGACCAAGGTGCTTCCTTTGCACAGAGGGGCCCAGCAGGGGAGCAGCTCATCTAGCCAGAAGTTTCCCTGGCCTTGTTTCAAGGAGCACTGAGCCGAGCTTGCTTCCCTGCATGCTGAAGGCAGATGTGCTTTTGTACGGAGTCTGATGGAGGGACCTGATAACCTTCAGAGAGACGTCTCCCAGGCCTGAGCAGATTTGCTGACCTGACTTCTGAAAACAAGCAGTGATCTTGCTTTTGAAAACTTGCTTCCACCAAGTCCCTTCTCAACGTTTTCCGCGCAGCTCAGGGTCTGGCAACGTGTGCAAGGGAAGCAGATCCTTCTGTGATTGGACCGGCTGTAATTAAGGCTACGTGTCAACACAATGTCCTTGCTCGTTTTTTTATATAAGAAGGAAAAAATATGTATTCAAATTAGATTCCCTGCCATGTGAATAGCTGTGAGGGGTGGTCTGAGACAACACACATCTAGAAAGGGCCGAAGTTGCTGTGAATTAAGAAAACTTGCTCCGTTTTGAGCAGACTATACTGAAAAAGACTTGACTCAGGTAAGTCACCAAAATCATGGCCCCAGTATGTATGGGTTTGGGCTCTGGGACTGCAGTAGTCTTTTGAGGTGTGGATCGAGTCACCTTCATGAAACTCTGTTGACCTCAAAATGGATGTATTTGTTCCCAGGTGTTTATTAGAAAAGTGGGGATGTTCTGAGTGCTGTTCAAAATGTCCTTTTATGGGCTATTCCCTTTCCTACTCCTAGCTTTCCTGGTTGTTTTAATTTGTAGGCCACAGTAGAGATCTTGTCTTTCACACCTTTCAGCCCAGGGTGCTTCACATAAGCATCTAAATAGGGCAGTGCCAAAATTAAGCCAGTTCTGGAATGGAGCACGGGACCACAGAGGCCTCTGGGGAAAACTTATATTCTTATCAGACCTGCCAGGCAGAGTGGACAGGCCCTTGATAGCTTTTAAATTCTAATGAGAAAGATCTTGGTGGGCTAGGCATCCTTCTGGGCAGGAGGAGAGTTGGGAGGGCACTCAGCCCTGACACGCAGACTCCAGCGGCCTCAGGAGTAGATGCTACAGAAGATGGAACCTGCATTAATAAATGTGGGTATAAACGTGAGGATGGAGGTGGTGGATGATCTCACAGGAAAGGCGCTGAATAGGATGGGGAAGACTTGGGCCTCATTCCTGGCTCAGACTTTGCATCTTTGGACAGGCCACTTAACCTACTATGTAGACCCTAATTCCTGTTTCGCAGGCAGGGAGCTCTCTTTTGCAAGGGCAGGGCTGGGAAAGAATCTGCACATGATTACTGCAGCAGTGAGATCCAGAAAAAACAGTGTGGGATCTTCTCCATGGAGCAGAACAAAGAACTCCTGACTCCCTGTGACCTTCTGTGGCTTCAGGAACCTGCTTCTCAGAAACCATGACAGATCCCTGGAAGTAAAGAAAGGTAAAAAACGGACAGGCACACTGACAGCCTTTACCCAGATTCTTTATTTTTTTTCCCCAGGAAAGAAAAAATCCCCACAATTTTACATGTTTGGTACAAAAAAATGAAAAGAGGAAAAAAAAAACCGACCCAAAAAACAATCAGGCAGCGATAAGAATTCTCGATCTCACTGCAGACATTTTGGCAGGAAACTGCCTCTCTGGAAAGCAGAGTCCTGCAGCTCAGATATAACCCTAAGCCCAACACAATTGCCCTCTTATGCCCTCCCTCCCACCCACCTTTTTTCCCCTTCCTATCTCTTCTAAACAA